CAGGAGGTCCAGGGCAGCTGGAGGGCCTTTCTAGGGACTCCCTCGAAGCTCAGTGCGGTCTCTGCCTGGGCTGCCCTCTGCGCATTGGGTCTGTGAGCGGTGGGGGGGGTCCTCCTGGGAGCGCTGGAAGGCCTCTGGCACACGCGCTGTGGGCAGGGCGCTCCCAGCCTGCTCAGCTCCAGGGCTTCTGTGAGTGCCATGGGGTTCCGGGACTCAGGCAGGTCAAAGGGCATGGGCTCTGTGTCTGTCCCTTCTTTGGGGATCACACCACCTCGGCAGCTGGCGATGGTCAGCTGCCGCCAGCGCGCTGGTTGGGTCCGTGTCTCCCTGTGGCTGTGAGCCTAAGCTCAGGGTCTGGCCCGGCCCAGTGAGAAAGGCATGGTCCCCTCACACAGAGACGCCTCATGTGATGGAGAACCTGCTCCAGAGATTTGGACCCTTCCCTGGCTCTCCACAGCCTAGAGGGATTCGAACCCTTGGCCTGTTTCCCACAGGAGGCAGAAGGCTGGGGAGGCCCTGGACAGGCAGCCGGTGTGGGACCAAGGGGCACGTGGGGGTGCTGCTGGATGAAAGGCCCCTGTGGCTGCTCTGAGATTCCAGGGGCTCAGTGCCCCCTCCCCGCCCCCCCGGTGGTGGGAGAGACTGGGGGAAGGGTGAGGAGGGGCACTGTCCTTCATGTCATGCGTCTGTCTCTGAGATGGAGTGACAAGGACAAAGGGGGCTGCGGGCACGGGAGCGGGGGAGGGACACCCACGTGTGTCCTGATTCGCTCCCCACCGCCCACCTTAGAGGTAGGACTTGCATCTGTGTTCAACAGACGGGGACAGCAAGAGCCACGGTGCAGGTCACGTGCAAGGTCACAGCCATCCTTATTTCTAGGGATTTGGGCTGCGAGCAGGTGCTAGCTTGGGGTTAAGATCAGGGCTTTTGGGGCTGGGAAGGTGGCTCAGTGGTAGAGCGCTTGCCTTGCATGCATGAGGTCCTGGGTTCAATTCCTCAGCACCACATAAGCAGAAAAAGCCGGAAGTGGCGCTGTGGCTCAAGTGGTAGAGCGCTAGCCTTGAGCTGAAGAGCTGAGGGACAGGCCCAGGCCCAGAGTTCAGGACCCATGACAAAAAAAAAAAAAAAAAAAAATCAAGGCTTTTCCGCCTGCTCTTGCGCTCAGCAGATGCAGGTGTGGCCAGCCCCACCCATGTCCCAAGGCTTGGCCTTCTGCCAAGGAGAAGTAGGGGCTGCCTATCTGTAAAATCCATTGGCCCACACCTGGGTCTGGGCAGGGGAGGGGCAGGCCACTGCCCCAGGGAGTCCTCCGCGTGTGATCGCTGTGTATACACAGGTACAGGGACTCTGCCTGTGACTTCTTCACCACGGTCACGGGCCTCGTCTCCAGTGGCTGCAGTCTTTCCAGGTGACACGGAAGTTCTCAGGTCTTCCCATGGACTCTGGCCTCTGGTGGGGCGGGAACAAGCAGGGGTGAGGCCCGACCCTCACCCTTTCCTCCACGTGCTGCGAGCAGCAGGAACAGCTGCCTCTCCCCAGTGACCGGGCTGCTGCCCGGCCTCCCCCTGCCCGCGTCCTTGGGACACCCCTGCCTGCAGACACACCCTGCCGAGCCTGGTGGGAGGATGCTGGGGTACCTCTGGCCACGGGCGGAGAGGAGCCTCGGGGCTGCATCGCGTCCTGATTCTCCATGACCAAGTTCCACAGAGGTGGCTCAGATCCGTACCGAAATCCAGGGTGTCTGCAGGGCTTCCTCATCTCTCCTGGTTCCGGAGGGGTCCGCATCCTCCCCATGGCCCCACGGAGCAGTCTATCTCACGCCTGGGTCCTTCCTGCCGGCCATGGCCTTGGCACCTGTTCATCTCAGGTGCTCCGGTTAGCAGGCTCTGTGCCACCTGCCCCTCATGTTTTCCTGCCTGTCACTGACAGCAAGCACAGGCCGAGTGGATGTAGCCCTGCCATTCTGCTCACCATGGGTGCCAGATTGTCCTCTTCCATCGTGACAATGGGTACGCCTAGGGCCTGGGGGACAGTCTGGAGCCCAGCCAGGTCTCCTCCCGCCAGATGTCTGGCTGTGGTTAAGCAATGTGAACAGAGCCCCAAGTTACATGGTCAGATACCACCATTATCTCTAACACCTTTCCCAGAAGCACCTACCGGCCAGGAACTTCTGTGGGCGCCTTTGACAGCCTGACCTAAACTTTGTCTCAATAGTTTATTCCAGGATCGTGCTGAAGACCCCAAACACAGGGTTTGGGGTCAATATCAGATGCCCTGAAGCTGGAAGGGCATGCACGTGTGCACTGTGTGTGTGTGTAAATGCTCTCTCTCTCTATTCTGTCTAGGCTTCCTTAAAGCCCTGGGCTTGGCTGGATGCCAGTGGCTCATGCCTATAATCTTGGAAGGCTGAGATTGGGAAGATCAAGGCCTGTCCAGGTGGAAAAGTTCATGAGATTATCATGAATTATCCATAAGCAGACATATATACATATGCCTGTCACTCTAGCTATTATGAAAAGCCTGAAATAGGTGGATCACAGTCCAGGTATATTCCTGGACAGAGTACAAGACCCTATTTAGAAATAAACCATTACCAAAAAGGGGCTAGAGGTTTGGCTCAGTGGCCGAGCACCTGCTTATTAGCAAGCACGAGATCCTGGGTTCAAACCGCAGAACAACCAAAAATATAAAAAATAAAGAGTAAAATTCTAGTAATCCTAGCTGGCAAGAAGTGATTTTGATTTGATGCTGCTTGGATCTGATTCGTTGATGAGAAGACACTGAGCATCCATTTGTCTCTGTCAGTTCTATTTCTTTGGAGACATTGTTGATTTTTTCTTTCTTGGTGATGCTTGTGTTTGAATTCAGATCTTTGCATTTGCTAGGCAGGTGTTCTATTACTTGAGCCATGCCCCTGGCCCTTTGCGCTTTGGATATTTCTCATAATAGGGACTTAAGCTTCTGCCTAGGGTCAGCCTTGAACCTAAGTTCTACTATCTCCTCCTCCCAAGTAGCTGGGATTACAGTTATGAGCAACTTTTTGGCCATTTTTGATTGGGTTATCTTTTTTTTTTTTTTGGTCGGTCGTGGGGCTTGAACTCTGGACTTGGGCACTGTCCCTGCTCAAGGCCAGTGCTCTACCACTTGAGCCACAGCTCCACTTCTGGTTTTCTAGTGGTTTATTGGAGATAAGAGTCTCATGGATTTTCTTGCCTGGGCTGGCCTTGAACCGTAATCCTCAGATCTCAGCCTCCTGCTTAGTTAGGATTACAGGCGTGAGCCACCGGTGCCTGTCTTTGTCTTCTTGTTGGGCCTAGCATTGACACTGGGTGGTGGATGAAGCCCATTGAGCCTCCTGCTGCGTGTCCTCAGGCTGCTGCTCATCAGAGCTACAGGTGGCAGCAAAAGCTTGGTAGGAGTTCCAGCGAGGAGACAGCTTCCTGGACAGATGGCCTGTGGTTGCAGATGAAGGAAGTGGCTGCTTGGGTAGAAGCCCCTAGTTTCACTTACAGTTTGTCTTCAGTTGCTGGAGAGACCAGAGGATGCAGCTTGTTGTCTTCTTGGGGCCTGGAGGCCAAGGACAAGCCCTAGGTGCATTGCCTGGTCCCAGCGTGTTTCTGTATCACTGAGCCATTGTGAGCCTTCGCAGGGAGGACCCCATTCGTGGGTCATCCTGAACACAAGCAGAGCCAGACCAGGGGCCAGTGGCTCACACTTGTAATCCTAACTACTCAGGAGGCTAAGATTGGAGGATCAAATTCAAAGCTAGCCTGGGCAGACAAATCTCTTATCTCCAATTAACCAGTAAAAACCAGAAGTAGAGGTGTGGCTCAGGTGGTAGAGCTCCAGCCTTGAGTGCTCAGTAAGATCTTAAGGCTCTGAGTTCAAATTGCTATACACACATACATGCACACACACATATGCACACATGGTGGGCAAGGCCACCTTAGCCTGGCTGGTTGGTTTGGGGCTGAGCTTGCAGCTCTAGGAGCCCTGGGGAGGGTGAGTTAAGACCCCCAGCTGCTTGTGGGGTCAGATAGGGCAGATGCCAGAGCTCTGGGGACCCCAAAGATCAGTGCTGGTTAACCCAAGGTGCTGTGCCACGAGCCCCTGCCCTGATAGTCTTGGTTTACCTATCTGCACGGGACAGCTGGTGCCACCTGTGAGGGTCGGGACAGGTGCCTGCCTCCCTGGGTGCGGGAGGGGCTCCTGCCCTTTCACCAACCTGCCCGCTCCTCCTGGGCTCTGGAAGGCACAGCTGTCCCACCCTGCCCAGCCCCCAGTGCCAGCACTGCCTTCCCTGCAAGGCGGCTGTTCTGGCCAACCAGCGTAGCTTGGCTCCCTTCCACTGGCATTGTCTGTAAAACAAAATACAGCAAAGTACAAAAGATAGCATAACAAATACCTGCCTCCAGGAGCAGGGCGCTCCACCGCTTACCCGATTTCCTGCAGTTCTCCTTTTAAGAGCTGCAAACACTTGAGGTAAAGCCAGATCTCTTTATGTCCTCCTTCCCTGGCCACCCCCAGGTGCCTGAGGAGTTGGGGTCCCGCTTGGGTGGTGTCTAGGCCTCCGGCTGAGTCCGCAGGGATGTGTGGGGACCGCTGCGGTGGCTGCTGGGACCTGAGCTCACATAGGCTCTTAGCACCCCAGAAAGTCTCCCTGGGGGATGGGGAGGTGGGCCTGGCCTGTCCTTTTATTATTTCCATGTGCCAGTACTAGGGACTTTAACTAAGGGCTTTTGGGTGGTTAATCAGAGAGAAGAGGCGGACTTGGAACTGATCCTCAACCCTCAGAGGCCTCCTGATTCGCCCAGTAGGGTGAGCCATCAGTGTCAGGTTATTAGAAGTCCTTGGGTGTTGGTGTGGCCCTGGGTCAGGCCTCTGCCTGAGCTCGGGGAAGGGGAGACGGCAGGATGGCAGATGAAAGGCTGAACGGGCGGAAGAGAGCCCGGCAGTGTGTGTGACCTCGCGTGGCTCCCTTGTCTCTCCCGCAGCCAAGTACCCGGCCATCAAGGCTCTGATGACGCCAGACCCGCAGATCAAGTGGACGGTGCTGGTGCTGGTGCTGTCGCAGCTGCTGGCCTGCTGGCTGGTGCGCGGCCTCGCGTGGCGCTGGCTCTTTTTCTGGGCTTATGTGTTTGGTGGCTGCGTGAATCACTCTCTGACACTGGCCATCCATGACATCTCACACAACACCGCCTTCGGCACACGCTACCCTGCCTACAACCGCTGGTTTGCCATCTTTGCCAACCTGCCCATCGGCCTGCCCTATGCCACCTCCTTCAAGAAGTACCACGTGGACCACCACCGCTACCTGGGTGGAGACGGGCTGGACGTGGACGTGCCCACGCGGCTGGAGGGCTGGCTCTTCTGCACGCCGGCCCGCAAGCTGCTCTGGCTGGTGCTGCAGCCCTTCTTCTACTCTCTGCGGCCACTCTACGTGAACCCCAAGGCCGTGACCCGCATGGAGATCCTCAACGCCCTGGTGCAGATGGCGGCGGATGTCACCATCTTTGTCCTCTGGGGGATCAAGCCTGTGGTCTACCTCCTGGCGAGCTCCCTCCTGGGCCTGGGCCTGCACCCCATCTCGGGCCACTTTGTGGCTGAGCATTACATGTTCCTGAAGGGCCATGAGACCTACTCCTACTACGGGCCCCTGAACTGGATCACCTTCAACGTGGGGTATCACATGGAGCACCACGACTTCCCCAGCATCCCAGGCTGCAACCTGCCCCTGGTACGTGTGCTGCGGGGCTGGGCAGGGATGAGGCGGCCCAGGGCTGTGTGGGAGCCCAGGGAAGGGCCCCGGGTTGTGCCCAGCCTGCCTCTTCCTTCTGGAACTGGCCAGGGGATGGTCATTGCCATTCCCAATGCCAGGGCTCTCTCCTCCCTTCCCTCTCCTCCCTGTCAGAACCCGTGCCCGGGCCTGGCTGGAGGGTGAGGCAGGCGCGGGAGGCGGCTGTGGGCGCCTGGGCTGGCGAGGGCTTGTGGATGCACAGTGGCTGGCTGTGCGTCTCAGGCCGGCTTCGGCCCACGGCCCCCCAGCGTCCTCTCAGCCAAGGAGAGCTTTGCATCAGTGAAGACATCTCTCCCGACTCCCAACACCTGCGCATTTCTCGTCACAGCCTGTGGCGCTGCAGGGGCCTCCTCAGCCCAGAACTGGCTGTGCTCGGGCAACCTGGGGTCTGACTTGAGTCTCAGGAGGCCTGGAGAGATGGAGTCAGGGGACTTGAGGCTGAGAAAGGAGGAAGAGAGGGGTGCCCCTCAGTCGCCACCTGGTCAGGGCTGACATTCTGATGCCACAACAGTAAGGGGGCAGAGGCCACGGGAGAGGCTGGGGGAGGGTCTGTAGACCCTCTGTGCAGGTGGACGTGCTTCACGGATGCCCACCTTGGTGCCTAAGGGCATGCCGGGGCGCACGGCTCTCTAGCAACGGTGCCAACGCTTTGCCGGCCCCACCTCAGCAAACCTCCCCTCTGGGCAGAGAACAAGGGGTGGCTGGGAGGAGGAGGGCACTTGTGGGACGCAGTGTTGAGACAGTCTGGACCCAGCAGCCATGGAGAGCATCTGCTGAGCGCCAGTGCAGGGAGAGCTGCCTGCTGGTGCCTGAGTGCCGCCCCTCATCTGCCATCTCCAGTGACGCAGGGCCCCCGGGGAGCGGAGAGGGTGCTCTGCCAGGGGCCCTGGGCTGCAGGCAGAGGAAGGGCGTGTGGTGAGGGGCTGGCTGAGAAGCACTGATGGGAGCTGAGGCTCAGGGGGTGCAGGCCAGGCTGTGCATTGGAGCTCTGCAGAGGACAGCGGGAGGCCCCACGGGCTCCGCCTTTGCCTTGGATGAGGAGGTTGCTGGGTTCTGGGGTGGGGTGAGTTTTGAACTCCACTTCCACTTGTGGGAGGGACTCAGAACAGTACTTGCTCCGCAGCTGGAGCACTGTGTTTCTGAGAGGGTGGCCCTGGCCCGAGACTGGGCCCCAAGCTTGGCAGGTGGGGCCCCAACAGCAGCTTCAGGGTGCCCGGGGAGTGGCAGTGCCCGGGGGGGCAGTTGGCACGTGGTGGGCACTCTGGCTGAGGCATGGCCCTGACCTTGCCCCTCTCCACAGGTGCGGAAGATTGCACCCGAGTACTACGACCACCTGCCGCAGCACCACTCGTGGGTGAAGGTACTCTGGGACTTTGTGTTTGAGGATTCTCTGGGGCCCTACGCCAGGGTGAAGCGGGTGTGCAAGGTGGCGGATGACCGCCTGTGAGCTGCTGCCCCTCTGCTGCAGCTCAGAGCTGGGCCCCTGCCCGCTGCGCCCAGAACTGGTTTGGCTGCGCTGGTTCCCGTCCCTAGGCTATTGCTTTTGGTCCTGCCGAGCCCCAGGAGTTGCCATCACAGCTTTGCCCAGCAATGGCAGACAGGCCCGGCGTGGCGCATCTGCGCAGACTCACCCGGGCTCTTCTGGGCCTCCCTGGGCAACGCCAGCCCTGCTTGGCTGTGGTCAGTGCTCTGTCCCCGTGATGTCTGAGGCGCTGGCTTCTCTGGTGTTCTTGTGCCCCAGATTAAATTCAGCACTTGTCCTCAGCCTGTCCACTGTGCTTCTGAGGGATAGTCTTGGCTGTAGCTCGGGCTGCCAGGGTGTGAGGTCTAGAACCCAGGAGGTGGCATCCAGCCATACCCCAGTCCTGCCATGCTCGCCTCACCCTTTGGAGGGCAGTCTGTGGCACAGGCATTTTCTGGCGGCTCTTCCCGGGTGGACACGGGTAGAAGGTGTCTGCGAGTCCCAGGAGCAGCTGGGAGCCCCTGACTCCAAGTTCCGCAGATGCATGCCCTGCTCCCTGGGCCTGCCCCATGTCCCCGGGCCTTTCATTCTTTGAAGTCCCCCGCCTGAGGCTTAGGTTCAGAGGAACTTCAGAAGCTCCGCGTAGAACAGGCCAGTGCCAGATGGGTGGCTGGACAGACAGGTGGCCACAAAGGTGGCACAGCTCGGGGAGCCAGGCTGGGCACTGGGCTTGGCATTTGTGAGGGGACCACGAGGCTCTGTCCTGTCTGCAGCGTAGCTGATGGTACAGCTGGCAGCACAGGGAGGCAGCCTCTGCTTAGCAGGGTGGTCTTCAGGGTCCAGGCTGGGGTCGGTTTTGGTGTCCAGTTCAGGCAGGCAGCAGTGGGGTGTGGAGTGATCCCCTCCTTGTCAAAGGAACAGGCGTGGGGCAGCCATACAGAGCCCATCGCAGCCCTGGGCCAGGCCGAGGTACAGAGCTGGCCAACGGTGCCTGCCACAGGTGGAGGCAGCCGTGGGAAGGCGGGGGAGGGTGCACAAGAGCCTGGCCCTGGGCATAGGAGGCGCCTCTGGTGCCTGGCACCAGAGCCCTTGAACAGCGCTACAGCGCAGATGCCTGGCCGGGTCTGAGACCGGACTTTGAACGGAGGTAGGTGGCCCCGCCCTGGGAGCGCAGGCCAGCCTAGCAACTGGGAAGAGCCCAGAACCCCCTGCCAAGCCTGCCCCTGGCCTTGGGAGCTCCTGGGAGTGCAGCGGTGCCCGCACAGGGCCAAGTCCAGGCTTTACCACAAGCCGGCCTAGGGCTCAAGGGTGGCTCTGAAGCGTGCCCTGGATTGTGCCCAGGAGGCCCAAGGCAGGGTCCTGGGGCGGGGGGCAAAGAAGAGGCTATTTTGCTGTGGACTCAGCACCCTGGCCGGCCTGCTTAGGGCTGGGCCTCGGCTTCTCAACTCAACGGATAGCCTGGTCCTTCCTGTTAGGTTGATGCGAGTACCAGCCAGACTGAAGTACAGGGGCTGGGCCGGGGAATGCCAGAGTCAGCCAGCCCAGGCCTGCAGCAGCTGGACTATGGGTGGACCTCAGCTGTGACTGCAGGAGGTCACCTGGGACCATGGGGAATTCCCTGCGGATGCTCACAGGGCATCCAGGAACCAGCAAGACAAAGAGAGAGCCAGAGGCAGGACCCGCGCGTGTGGACAGTAAACAGTTTATTACTGTGTGGACAGAACACGCACTGTGTGGACAGACTGTTAACACGACTGCCGGGGGCAGAGCTGCGTGGGAAGGCCACGCCGTGCCGGCGGCTCACTGCCAGCTCAGGGGCCAACAGTGTCACCTAGCAAAAAACTTGGAAACCATCTAATGAAGCAGGTGACGGGGTGTCCTCTCTATAAACCGAAAAAAATGTACACTTAAATAAGCAAATATAAAATACAAAAAAGAATAGACCTGGTGTTCTGTGTCAGGTAGAAGCTAAAAAAATCCAGGAGTTGAACTCTGTTCCTCATTTTGCTATTGTATCACAGGCTGAGATTCTTAAACGAAGCACATCCCAGCTTGAGTGCCAGCTTCCGATGTGTGCGGAGGCCCGTGGCCACGGGGAGCCTCGCTGTCCTCCATGGCTGGTGGCCGCTTAGGTGGTGCTGATCCCACTCAGCTCCTGCCTGATGGCTGTGGGCAGGACGGGAGAGGGCACTCAGGTGCAGCGGCGACCTGCCCCCCTCATCCTGAGCCTGCTGCCAACCTGCCTGACGACTGTCCTCCCCAGCTTAGGCTCCCAGAAGCCCCCAACCCAGGCTGCAGTGTGTGTGTGAGTGTGAGAGACTCAGGGCACAGGCTCAAGGCCCAGTAGAACAGCAGCCTGGCACATACCGTCCTTGTGGGTTGCACGGGCAGTTTGTGCCGGAGTCCCTGTCAGGGGAGGCGCTAGCCAGGCTTAGGGAGGCATCTAGATCTGCCTGGAGTCCCTCGAACCCTTCTCCAGCGCAGTGGAGGCTGGGCTCTGCCGTGCAGTGGCACAGAGCCTGTAGAAGGGCAGGGCTTTCTCTCCAACACTTTCCTGTTCTCTCCCAGCCTCTCCCTGAACAACTCCTTCTCCTGCCCACTTCCACCCCTATCCTCCCTCCCACCCCTGCCACTGTCTCCATATTCCCCAGCCCCCTTGTCCCCTTCAATGTTGGCTTGGCCTCCCGAGGACAGTCCTCCAGAGGCTGGAGCCAGCAGGAAGGCGGGGGGAGGGTGGCCGCTATTAGGAGGGGGTGTTTGGGGCACAGGCACAGCCAGCTCCCCCAGCACTCTGGGCTGTGGCAGGCAGGCTCCTAGGGCCCACAGGTGCTGACAGGCCAGGGACCTATGGCTCCCACTGCCCGCTTTCCTCCCTAGCTGGCTTCTGCTGAGCCATCTGGCCAGGCAGCCCTGCCTCTGGCCTGAACTGGGTTCTGACTTAGACCCGGCCCAGAGGGCTGGAAGGGAACCACTCCTAGGCTGGGTTACTCCAGGTAAAGCCCCAGCATCTGCCCTTGTGGCTCCCTCTGGCTCCCCCTCCTTCTTCATTAATGCCCCATCTCCTGCCCTGACTGCAGCCCCAACTGATAGACAGGGACGTGGTGCTCTGGCTGGCAATGGTGTAGCCAAACGGGGGGGGGGGGAGGGGGGAGGAGCCCGGGGAACTGGCTCCCAGCCCACCCCCTGGGGGCCCTCTCCCTCTGGAGTCAGCCATGGGTGAGGCTTCATCCTGTCCCCTGTGGGGGAGGGGCGACCATGGCTGGTGCCTGCTGAGCCCAAACCTTCCCTTTCCTCTGGCTGCAGATCTGAGCTGTGACCTGAGGCTGCTGGGTCTGGAAGGACTGATAGGATGTGCGGGCCCCAGCCTGCTCTTTGGAGCCAGAGGCTCCTTTGTGGGGGAAGCACTGCGCCCCTCTCCAGCACAGGGCCACGTGGGCTGTGAGCCTGCTGCTCAGGGGAAGACGGGAGGGAGTCCTGCCAGAGCTCCGAGGCCACATTGGGTGTGGCCGATGACAAAGGCAAGGGGACCCAACAGACAACAAAGGAGCAGAAACTCAGAAGACAGCCACTGACTCCCCTCCTGGCAGCGGGCAGGACCTCAGGCCAGAGCGCATCCCCAGGGAGCCACAGTGTTCTTAGCCAAGTCATCTGGCTCTTGGGCACCTGTTTCCATAGTGATTAGGGAGGGCGGGGAAACACAGTTCTTTGGGTGTTGTGTGGCCTTGGATCACACTGTGCATGGCTTGGCAGGTGCCACTCTGGTGAGCCTCCCTGTCCTGAAGCCCTGCTGGTGGCGGCCCAGGCCAGCGAGGCCCACTCACCATCAATGATCTCCTCCTTCACCTTGTGCAGCTCACGAACTACCTCCTCCAGGATCTCCTGCGGGGCAGAGGATCTGGTGATGAGGCAGGAGGACCATGGGGGATGACTGGAGGGGCCTCGGGAGATGGGCAGTGGGGGTTGGGGGGACAGCGCCCACAGGAGAGATGTCTGGAGGAACCTCCCACCCAGCCCCCCACCTCCCTGGAAACCCTGCTTTTGCTGTCACCCAAGTCCACTCTAAGACCAAGGCTGCCCACGGGGAGGGGCAAGGGCAAGCGTGGACACCTCAGAAAGGCAGAGTCACCTTTGTTCTGGCAATGGCAGTGGCTGGTGCAACAATGGACGTGTGTCCAGCCTTCCCACCACTGTCTGCCTGCCAAGCATGTGCTGCCCAATTCAGCCCACCGGGTACACTGACCACAGATGCTCGTGACCAAGGGAGGGGCACTCACCTGTTTCATCCGGTCCAGGTCGAAGGCATCCAGGGCCACGTCATTCACACTCCCAGCAGGCTTCACCCTAGGAGAGGAAAGGCAGCGTGGGGAGGGCAGCAGGGCTGCGGGCTGCCGCTCCCTGGGCCTTCCTGGGCCACTGCAAGGTGCCTGATGGATGCAGGTGCCTTCTCTGTGGATACTGTGACCATATTTCCCAGCCCAAGAGTCAAGAAGTGGAGGCTGGCAAGGTGTTGTCTTCGGACTTGAGGGCAGAGAAGGCAGCCCCCTGAGCTCCTACTGCCTCCCTGAAGGGAGCCTGTACCAGAAGCTTCCTCAGCATGGGGTTTGTGTTCCTGGCTGAAAACTGTGGCACTACGGACAGCATGAGGCTCAGCCGGCCTTGCAGCAGCTCCGCTGGGGTGGCTGCAGAGCCTGTAGCTCTCTCCCCAGTACAGGTCCTGGGACTCGTGTTTGCTCATTTGAGGCAGGTTTTTTTTGGTGGGGGAGGGTCGGGGGGGGAAGTAGAGCCTATAAGAGATGGGGGAACCTGGCCAAGTTCTTTTTTCATTATTGTTGTGATTATTATTTACTTTATTGTTATCATAAAGGTGATATACAGAGGGATCATAATTACATGAGTCAGGTAATGAGCACATTTCCTTTTGTACAGTGTCTTCTGTTCCCTCACTCTCTCCCAGTCCCATTTCTGTAAAAGGTTGGGAACTAAGGTCAACTGACTTGAATTTCAACCTCCCTGGAAAATCTTAGCCCAATACTTGTCTAACTACTTGGTCTTTCAGAACACCATCAGGAGAACAGCTGCTGAACTCCTTGGTGCCAGGAAACAAATACAGCCTGAGTCAGGAGGAGTGGGCGGGCCCACCTGGCTGCTGAGGGTCAACACCCAGATTAGGACTGGCTGGTAAAGCAGTAGCTGAGGAGTGTGGATGAGAAACAAAGTGCCCTTGACCCTCCCGATGACTTAGGATGCCAGGCGCATCCTGAGCAGTTCTGGATCTGGTGA